AACACCCAATCAAAAAGGGACCCTGGCAGCTCCCGTCAGCATGATCTACCGGGCCATTAAAAGCCCGATTGGATTGGCAGCACAGCAGAGCTAAGGCAGTTTCTACATAGAAGCCAGAGGGGGAACATGCTACTGCTCCTAGGAACAGCTTGGTATAAATGCTACCCAGCGCCTGTATCCGTTAGGCTCCCCTACCCATGTCCCAACTTCCTGCCACAGCCCTCATCCCCTTCCTGCCCTCCAAACCCTTTGATCCCAACCTGGAGCACTATTCTACACCCCAAAACCCTCGTCTCCAGCTCCACCACAGAATCTCATGGAGCCAGCTGGAGCCCTCTCTCCCTGGTGCCCAACTCCCTGCCTCAGCCCTGATCCCCCACCTGCCCTCCAAAATCCTCAGTCCCAACCTGGAGCATCATATTTCACCTCTAAGCCCTCATCTCTAGTCCTAGCCCAATGCCTGCATCCCCAGCCATAGCACTCACCCGTTCTCTTGCATCTCAACATACTGAAGAAAACAACAGTTTAAAGTATGTTTAGGACTGTAAGTAGGAATAAAGCCATGTGTTCTCGTAAAGTTCTAATACTTACACAACATAGCAGCCTTTTTGGTTAGCTAGCACACACTGTTGTTAGCCCAGCGCTCTGTTCTTTGCAAGGACTACGGAATCCAGTTCAAGGTCTCCCTTCTGATATTCAAAGTTCTCTGTACCAATTAGACCTAGCCAGAGATGAAAGCACGTGGGTGCGCCCTAGCGCGCAGCTCCGGCAAGAGCAGGCCGAGCTGCTGCAAAAGAGCTGGCAGTGGCTGTTGCAATAGGGTTTGCAATAGGACAGAAATTTTAAGATACTTTAAGATACTGGACCTAGCTATATAAGAATTTACCTTTCTCTTTCTCCATTACTATAACCTTTCACCACACCAGTGTTCCTATAGAACAGTGAAACTGTCAGCAAATCAGCAATGAGCAATGGAGTCAGTTCCACTCACTTTTGTAGATCTTGAGGGTCTTTGCACCTATAAGGAGGTATTCAGTTCCATATCTGAGTAAGTGGTCATCACCTCTTTGGACTCTTAGTAAAGCTTACTCAGATAGGTAAGGGCTAGAGATCTGGTTCTATAGTTTGAATATAAGCAATATCACACAGTATTTGTATATATAAAAACTAATGGTTAATGAATTGACCTGTGATAGTTTGGTATGTGACTTTATAAAATAATAAACTCTCAGAGCAGTTTAAAAAACATTGAAATTTTCTAATATGAGGTTCACTGTGTGACAGTTGTGAGTGAAAGCAAGACTGTAAAAAACACTCTATGCCATCTGCTCATTGTTTTGGTTAGAAACAATTTCTTAATATCTGTGATCAGGACAAAAATAACATAATACAACTATATAAATCCATGATACTCCCACACTTTGAACATTGTGTGCCGTTCTGTTCCCCCCATCACAGAAAGATATATTAGGACTGGAAATGATACAGAAAAAGACAATAAAAATGATTACGGGCATGGAACAGTTTCCATTTGAGGAGAGATTTGAAAGACTGGAGCTCTTCAGCTTGCAAGAGAGACAACTAAGGGTGTGATATGACAGACGTATAAAATCATGAATGGTAAGAAGAAAGTGAATAAAGAAGTGTTGATAAAGAGTACTCAGGGAATATAAGGCCATTGTGGAGAAGCAAATACATAATTTAGCATTAGTCTTTAGCGAGGGTGCATGTGGGAAACATTTCTGTTCTGAGCCATTCTAGTTAGATGACAAATCTGAGGACCTGTCCCAGATTGAAGTGTCAGTAAAGAAGGCATCAGAACAAATTAATAAATTAAACAGTAATTAGGGATCAAGAATAGATGATATTCACCAAAGAATTCTAAAGGAAATTAAATATGAAGTTGCAGAACGACTAATTGTGATATGGGACCTGACACTTAAATCAGCCTCTGTACCAGATGATTAAAAGATAGCTAATATTTAAGATAGTTCAACAAACGTGAACAAGTGGCATCCAGTCGATGTAG